GATACGGAGACGTTAAGCTACGTATATAATCCCTATTAGGCACGAAGAGACTACTACGCCTTCGGGATATCGTATACTATAAGGAATTCGTTACTAATATCGTCTCGGAACACTAGCTACGTCTATAAGGCTACCGCTAGGATACCGTAAATAATACTATGATCAACTCCGCCGATAACCGGCCTATCTATAAGCTACTAGATATCCACGGCTAGTATATAATCAAGCGCGCGGAAGCCACGGCCGCCACCGCGTTCGCGGTCTCGGTAAAATACCCCCGCGATAACCCGTATAGAAGATCACCATAACCGCGGTAACCATAGAAGAGAGACTAAGGCTCTATCCAATACGCGTTAAAAGACGTTTTTGCCTTACTTAAGACCTAATTCGACATTAAGCCATATATCCTAGAGGCCGATTCCGAGATATTTTAGCACCTAGAGGTCGTTACTTTCCTCGCTACTAAAGGGGTAGAAAACTAGCCGTCGGTATTATATTCATATAATTAAAACGGCGTTATAGAATAGATTAAAGGCATCGTTAAAAGGAGGGCGAGGGCTATAAGAATTAGGGCTAATCTACCCACGTCTATTTAGCCTAAGATCTTTAAGACTACTATATATCTATATAATAGAACGCCACGATATATTAATAACTAGCGAACGCTATATAAAGGCCTATACGGCCGTTAACCTAACCTTATATACCTATAAGCTTATAGCTATAAAGCCTTTATAAAAATACAGGATACCTAAGCTAAAAGGAACCGTCAATAAAGGCTAGAACCGAAGGCATAGATCGGTTATTATATCGGATACTAATCCTCGAATAGCTTCCATATTTAGCTACTATACCTAATAGATATTATCCCTATAAGAGACGTAGTCTTTAACGAAGATAAGATATTTAATAGTAGGATTAAAACATTATAAGCTATAGCTTCCGCCGAGGAAATCGGGGAACGCCTATAATCTATCCGTATCACCTAATCTAATATGACCGTGAATAGGCTACTATTAAGAGGTATAGCCGTAGACGTATTAGATCTTAAGTCGGAAGACTCTAACGCTACCGCTATTACTACGGGTAAAGGCGACACCACCGCTATTACTATAGATAAAGGCGAGGCCGTCGCTATTACTATAAAAGAGGCTACTACTATTACTATAGATAAGGTTCTAAATCTATAGCCTAATACCTAAGCTATAGATTTAGAACCTCGTAACTCTAATACTACTGCTATTATTATAGGAGAGGCTACCGCTATTATTACAGATACTACTATTATTATAGGAGAATACTATACTACCGCTATTACTACGGGTAAAGGCGATAATACCGCTATTACTGCAGATAAAGGAGACGCTACCGTTATTACTACGGGAGAGGCTACCGCTATTACTCTAGATACTTTAATACGCCCCGGCGCACTATAGATACTAGGTAAGGCATAGGAACCGTATTCCACGGCGGTCTACCGCTAGAACCGTGTTTTACGGCGGTCCACTGTTAGAACCGCGTTCTACGACGGTCTACTATTAGAACCGCGCTCCACGGCGGTCTACTATTAAAACCGTATTCCACGGCTGTCCACCGTTAGAACCGCGTTCCACGGTGGCCGAGCTAAAGTATCCCCGGGGTTCCCCTATAGATATATTAGTTCTGGGCTTTGCCCCTTAGTTTAGAGAAGATATCTATATTACACCGTATTTTCTATACCTAAAGGTTACCCCTTAAGAAAAGCCTAGTATATAGGTCCTATAGTACCGGCTGGCCAGGGATTTGCCGGTCAGGCATATTATACTTTATAGTTTACCACTACGAGGTTTAAACCGTTTCCCACGCCTCCAATATCCCCGAAAAATCCTGCGCGCGCGTTCTTTATAGCGCTAGCGGTGGTTAGGGGCGCTAAAGTAGAAGAACACGATAACCACTAACGGATAGCTATAGATACCCCTAGGGGGTGCCTGTCGGCTATACGCTTATCGGCCGCGTGCCTATCTATCGCGAGAACTATTATAAGCCTATACACGACTAAGAAGGTATAGAATAATAATACCTAGAAGGCGTTCTTTAACACTAGAAGGATTTATAACCCTATACGCGGGAGGAAATAAACTATTAACGACGGTAATATCGTCGGCGCTAGCATTATAGATCCCTTTCTCTCTAACGCCTCCCTATCGCGTCTAACCCGCGAGGATCTCCCGCCTCCGCTAAACCACTACTATAATATACGCTTATACCCGTTACGGGAACGGTGGTTATAGGCTAAGGGGGAATACCTTAAGGGGCACCGATAGATAGGCTACTAGTAGGAGGTCCGCGGTAATTAGGCTAATAAGTAATAAGTCCTCGCCTATAGATAGGTATACACCTATAAATTTAATAAGGAAAGCACCCTCCTTAAATATAAGGCACGCCTTATAGTATAAGGGGAATAATAAAAATAGTTAGAGACTAAAAATAAGTACGCCGCTATACTAGTATCGCGGTTATTCCGTATACTAATAGCGATCGCCGCCCGATTTAATCTAGAGATAAGGTAGTTCGATACCGTTAACACGTTCGTTAACGCTAGCCTTAAACAAAAGGTATTTATAAAGATACCGTAAGGCTATAAAGTGCTAGGTAAGGTACTACTACTAAGGAAAGCCCTTTTCGGCTTAAGGGTATCGCCACTACTATAGTAAGAGGAATTTAGCGGCACGCTATAAAGGATAGGATTCACGGTCGTGTCTAATAACCCCTATATTATACTCCGCGACGGTTTAATTCTATTCTTTTACGTTAACGATATCGGACTTATATACTATAAAGACCGTAAGACTAATACCGATAACCTTAAGGCCGCCTTTAAGCGAAGCTATAGGTTATTAGGAGGCGAAGAAATCTATTAGTTCCTAGGAATTAAGGTCCTAAGGGATAAAGCCACCCGTAGGTTATAGCTATTATAATTCTCTTATATAGAGAAGATCGCGGTTACATACTACGTAGATATACTCTACCAAAAACCACTAAAGGTCCTATTATTAACGATAAAGCCGCTAATACCCCGTGACGGTATACGCGCGTCGATTCCTGAGGTCCGCTAGTATTAGGGTATAATTAGTTCTATCCTGTATACCGCTATTATAATAAAACCCGATATCGTGTTCGCCTATTCGAAGCTTTCCTAATATAACGTTAACCCCTCCTCTAACCACCTTAAAAGGGCTTAATAAGTACTGCTATTCCTATACTATATAAGACACCACTACCTAGAATTCGGCGGGGATAGGCTCTTCCTAATAGTAAGCGACGCGTCCTTTAAGGATAATCCAGACCGTAAAAGCTTATAAGGATATACGATAAAGCTCTTTGGCGGCACTATTAACTAGAAGGCGGGTAAGTAACTAATAATAATAACGTCGTTAATAGAGTTAGAACTACTCGCTCTTACTAAAGCAGCTAAGGAGACACTATTCGTTAGCCGGATATTAAGGGATTTAGAGCTTCGGTTAGACTAATAGTACCTATAGCTATACTACGATACTTAGTAGACTATTAACCTCGTTAACAAGAAGGCATAACGCCTACGGACAAGGCTACGGCATATTAATATATATAACTAGTAGGCGCGCTAGTTAGTATAATAAGGTCTTTTTAAGGTTATATACGTTAATATAAAGGAGATAATCGCGGATAGTTTAACAAAAGCACTACCGGAGGCAGGGATTAAAAGACTATAGTAATAGCTTAATTTAACGGATTAAAAGGATCGTATCGAGTAGTCTAAACGGCTATACGAAGAGATTAAATACGCTAAAGCCACGGCCGTAGCGATTATAAAGGCCTCTAAGGATATAGTAGATCCGATAAATATACATCCGATTAAGTAGATCCGGCTAATTAGGATCGAAGAACTAATTAAGATAGAATTAAATTAAACGGTTAAATAGGGCAGATTTAGATCCCTTTTATAAGGGCGTTTTTCCCTTAACTATTGATTTTACGATAGAAAAGCTAAGAGCGTTTAGTTTAAACCGAAGCCTTTAATTAGTTAGTTAACCTGGAAAGACCCACCTTAACTAAGGGGGTGTATCGTATAGGCAGGACCACGACGTGGTCTATAGGGGATCTAGTAGGGATCCACTCCCTAATTAAGGGCTTCGGACCTCGGGTATTAGGATATAATAGGGGCGGATACCGGAAAAGACCGGATAGGATCTAAATATTCTAGTACCCATAATAGAGTCTTTACTACCTACATTAAGGGCATAAGAGACTCACACAGATATAACTTAATATAATACATACACACGAGATTTCTACTCTACTAAGTTGATTATCCAAGTGCTATTTAATATACGGCAATTATACGTTAGGATTTCCCTTTTAGCGTAGTGGTAAAATTCTGCTCCAAATAAAAGGGGGGGGTATTCGACACGTTATCTTTATGTATTTTCTATAATACAGGCGGGCCTATAGATAAGATATACGAGTGCCGGTCCTCCGCCCCCCCTATTCGGTCTTCTAGGTCGACTTAAACTCTTTTAGGACTAAAAATCCACTTTATCTCCCCTACCCAAAAATAAGTGGGTTTCCTAGCTACTCTAATATAAGTAGATAGATAGAATGTGTACGAGGACTCTATAAAGGCCTCTACGAAAAAGGACTCCGCCTTACGAAGAAGGCCTCCACGATAAAGGAGCCCTAGCCCTGACCCCTTCCGTGATACGTTATTATGTTCTGATAATATAGAGATACTTTACAAGACCTAGGAAACCCACTTAATTTCGGGTACTGGAGATAGAGTGGGTTTTTAGTCCTAAAAGAGTTTGAGTCGACCCGGAGGACCGAACAGGGGGGGCGGAGGACCGGCACTCGAGATATACAGGTACCGTGCGCTTTTCGAGAGCCTCGATGCCCTGAACAAGCCAAGAAAATAGAGCTCTCCTTTTTGGTGTTCTCGTCCTCTTCCATGCAGGATAGTGGAGTCCCAGAACACAACGTACTCCCTACCATCCTTGAAGATCGAGGCAGAGGAGGGGTGGCTAGTGCAAATCAGGCATCGTGCACTGAACTAAGTGGAGGGTTTTTCGTTCTTTTTTTTTTTTTTTTCCTCTCATATTCTTCTTTCCCCCTTGTTGCCTGTTGTCGATTTGGCAGGTGTCATAGGTGATTAATATCTTCCTCTCCATTCGTCTTGCGACGGGCCGTAGATCAGTATATGCGGGAGGGAGCATGGGCGAGGGAAGGGCCTTTTCCTAGGTATCTTACACTTGGTATTCGCCTGGAGGCGGTGGTCAACAGAAAATTATCGGCGCACCAACGTAAGGATGTATCCAACCGAAGCACGTAATTCGTCACAAACCGCGCCTTGACAGCTGCACCGGTTACGTCTGTTTTCTTATTCTTTTTTTCTTCTTCTTTTAGCCCGCTGCCACGAACAATGGATTATACCTACCTTTCGTTTACTTACACCAAGGGAACAGAATTTGTAATAATTTGCCGATACCTTATTAGTAGGTATGTATTAGTAAGGTAGGCTTGTCCTCCGCATGTACGATGTCTACGTAGGACTGTACTCCTCATTATTCGTACTCTGTACTTTGTGCAACTCCATGCTCTCGTCATCTCGGCAGGGTGAGAAAATGGCCGGAAAACTACCTAATGAACGGCCAAGCACATAGACGTTGGTGCGGTCCCGTGCCGCTCGAGGAGGGATTCTGGAACACCCAAGGAGGTGGACAGCGGACGGACGTAACAACTGTTTTAAGGGTCGTGCGCCGACAGAGAAATTCACATGATTGGCCCCTGGCTCGGAGTCGCAGACCGGTGCTTCGGGGAGGCATTAGGCTGAACGGACGTGTTGACCATTTCGGGCTCAAACGCTGGCCGGAACGTTATCGTTGTCTCAACCTCAATCATCCGCGTTCCCGGATGCCTGGTGGCCGTGTGCGCCAACGTCGAGGAACGTTCTTCAAGTCCGGCCCGAAGTGCGAAATGTGGCCAGACGCGAACGACGATCAGGGGACCCCGCCAAGTCTGCGTGTGTGTTGCGTGGAATGCCCTGGAAGGTATATTACCCGAGACTTACAACGGACGGCCCAGGATCGTGGCTCACTGTGGCTCAACAAAGCACCAAGCCACTAAGGATTCAGGCTTTCCTGCTTTGGGCATTTTTTCTAGTACACGTAATTATTGGGAGTACACGTGTACACGTACAAACAGATTCCGTGCATGGATGCCTATTACTCCCTTCCTACCTTCCCACCTTCCCAACCACCATGCTCTCTCACTCGCCTTGAGTACGAAGTATGCGTTTACATACCGGATTGGTGATATAAGCTAACCTACGAAGTTCTGCCTTTCTCCTTACTTCGTACGGAGATCTCGTGCTGCTTCGACTCACTGCCGATCAATGGCTTTGACCGCCGGATAAAGACAGAAGCGATCGCCAAACGATTCGAGGCTTCGCCAAGCAATACTACGCACCGACTGACCCTCCCCATAATATCATACCTAGATATCACAGCATCGCCCGCAAGGGCCCTTGCGAACAGCCGCGATGCCTCACCCTCTTTGAGGTCGGTCGTACACATCCCTCGAAGCAGCTCGCAGGGCCCTTGGCACAGTGGCTGGCGAAGAGGGCCATGTAATTGCTGTGAGGACGTCGAAGGCCACGGGGACTCCAAAGCGCGTGAGCGGCCATGCTGCCATCCCCAACCATCGCCGGCGGTTAATCCAGCAGGCACGGTCAGATATCATGGAGCTGTCCAACAGCGGCGTGAAACCGAGAGACATCCTCCTCACATTGGAAGACTCGCTACCCCGGCGGCGTCTTTCATATCCTAAAGCAACCAAGATATGTACAACGAATTACGCCTCCAAGGAGAGGCTGAAACGGATAATAAGACTCCGCTGTTGGGGATCAAGGGAAGGCTGTCGTTGTTGTTATTGTGGACAGCGAGGCAGCAGTCAACCATGCGGACCGAGCTTCCTAATTTCTTCCCCTTTTGGGAGGGGGAGAAAACAAAAAGAGGGGCGGTTGGGGAGGCAGGAGAGAAAGAAAAGAGGCTCTGGCTCTGCCGCAATCCGAGGCCGGCACTTCTCAAATTCTCCCGACTGATGGACGCCCTCCGAAGCAATACATAGGTAAGGACGCGGCGCCACCGTTTAGGTTGCAGTCCCGACGTTGCGCTACCTACCCCGTATTACTGCTTGTAACCCAGCATGATAATGCGTCGTGCTATAAACAAGTTCAGCTGCGGTCGAGAACACCAGTGGGCCGCATCGGTGAGACGCCCACAGTCCCGATGCGCTGGGGCAAACTGGTGCACGGGACTCCCGCATCACCCGTCGCCTTCTTTTTTCCACCCGGCCGACGTCAACGTCAAGAAATGCAGGCTGGGGGCCTCGGCGATGTGCCATGCCGGTAACATAACTTGGGGATGCGGAAGCGAAATGAAACGAAATTTGCGACTTACTTCGCACTTTCGCTTGCCATGTGGCATTTCCGTTTCGCACTACCCCGTAAATCATTGCCAAACGCCCTTGGCTGCACGGAGAGGTCGGCCTCCGTGCGAGCGTTAGTCCGGAATAGGTTGCAATCGAAAACCGGGGCCCTCATTCTACGAACAATTATTCGTACATTCACTCCTCTTTTGTTGCCTCTCTTCCTTGAGGCTGGACCGGTCGACGTTGGCGGAAGCCCAGATTCCAGTTCTTTTCGTTGACCCCAATAATCGCCCGGGTCGTCGACATAACCCGTCGGATGTCGTTGGAGTGGATTCCGGGAAGACCTCATTCGCGCGATTACAGAATAGGATCGGTCTCTCGACTCATCTTTCGACTTCCGTGCCCTTTCAAGTTGGGTGCGTGACTCAAGATCCGACGTCTGACGTTCGACGCCCGACGATCAGAGCAAGGACGCGGCAACCTTGCCTACCGAGCTTCCAGTTGCTATAGTCGGGTCCTCTTCAGGAGAGTCTCGAAAGCGTCATCATCATTTTGAAGTCTGCTGTTCTCGCCTGATATTCTGTACAGCATGGTCTTACTTACTGCCGCCCCTCTTGAGCCCGTCTTGGTATCTTTGAAACATCGTCCTCTCTGCGGGGTGTACGATCATGGGTTTTGCCAACTCTCGTGTGCGGATAAGGTGACTGGAACTATGCTACTCCTCCTTTTCATCCTTGCGACAGACAACCTACATGGCCCATGGCATGGCCTGGCCTGGTCAAAGGTCATCATAATTATACCGATGCACATGCGAGCAACCTTCCAGACACAGGCGACCAAACCCACTGGAGAAGTCGAGGTCCCGCTTCGGCCCTTGCGCGCTGTGATCGTATCTTCACTGGTGAGGGGCAACGAGACTTGTGCGAAATTAAAACACTTATCCTTATCATGAAGCAATGTGCTGCTCTCCAACGTCAAAGGCGACTACTAAATCGTTAGATTTTGGAATTGTGCCGTGGTTTACCAAGCAAGGAGAAAACCTCGGACCGTGACCCTGAACGCCTGTTCGTCTGCTCATGATGCTTGCTTTGCTCTACGCTACTCCCTTAGCACGTCGTCAGGGACTCGGCATCTTGCCTTCTTCCATATCCTCTCCTTCCCTTGCTTCCACATTCGCAATCGCGCTTTGCAGTGCGTTCGTCAAGTCGACGTGGAAAAGCGGCCGGTTCACCCCCGCCACCGCAACCCCCTTCCGCTGGACTATAGCTTCCATTTGTTCTCCGTACGCGTCGCGTCCGCCCGCGGCACTGACCCCGCCACGGCCGTCATCGAAGATGGCGTCGGTTATCCGGTCTATGCGGCCCTCTTCCTGACCAGCCTCGACATAAAGCATGACTTGCTACCTTCTCCGCCATCGCGGCGGCCGAGTCGGAACCTCCAATCTCGGCTACGCTAAAGATGGACTTCCGCCTGCGCGGCGGGTGGCGCTGGTCGGCATTCGTTTCGTGCACCGTCCTGTACCCGAATCCTGCGGCGGCGAGCGCCCGCTTCGTCCAGCGGTTGTTGATGCACGCGAAGTGCCAGTCGACCACGTCGGGCGCCGCGTAGCGGTCGAGCTGATTACGGACGTCAATGAGCCGTTGGACAGACGTGATGTCGATGTTATTGACGGAGCTGAAGTCGAGGGTGACGGCTTTGAGAGTCGGTCGGCCCTCGGCGGCATGACGCTCCGCTGCGGCCTTCGAGGCTTTGCGCGAGGGGCCGGGGTCGTTTCAGGGACGGTCGCCCAGCTTCTCGTGCGTCTCCATATCGGTGCGGTGCGTGCGCTTGAAAATATATTCGCATAGGTACTCGAGCGAGTGCGCTGCGTTGGGATAGTTGAACCCTTCCAAGAACCGGTAGATGAAGATGCCCGGGTAGGGGTTGTCGACCTCCACCTGCGGGTTGGACCCGTCTCCGTGGTCGATGGGCAGGAATACGTTACGGGCGGCAGTTTTCCTGGCATCGGCGTCAAAGGTCCCATATTTCCCCAGGATTTCGCGGTGGTCTTCCCCGATGATATGGTCTCCGATTACCGAATGGATTTTGACCTTTCCAAGAAATCGACCCCTGCCTCGGAGGATCCGCTAAAGGAGCAGGATAATAGACGCGATGACCGTCGCATATATGTCGTCCTTAATGGAAGAGAAAACGGTGACGAGGACACCAAGGAAGAACATAAACACTTCTAAGGGCGAGACGAGCCAGAATCGATATACCGTGTCAGGAGGAGTGATCAGGTCACCCACTGTATGAATGATAACGGCGGATAGAGAAGCGTTGGGAATATAGAAGAACACGGACGTCAGGGCATGAATAGCTAGCAGGACGACTATACACGTGATCACTCCGGCAAAAGGTGTCCTGACTCCTGCCTTCGATTTGATCGCCGTACGACTAAAGGAGACGGTCGAAGGATATCCGCCCAGGAAGGGAGCTAAGACGTTGGTGACACCGATAGCTACAAACTCCTGCGACGGGTCGATGGTGTAGTTGTTCACCCTTCCGAAGGACTTCGAGATGGGGATATGCTTAATCACCAGGACGATGACGGTGGCTGGCAGGTCCGAGGCAAAAGAACGAATAAGGGTGGTGTCGATCTTAGGAACACCAGCGTCTTGGAAGCCTGGGAGAAAGAAACGATGTGATTAGCCCCCTGAGTTGAAATACGAAGTTCAGGTTCGTTAGGGCCTGTCTTCTCCAACTTACCTCGGGGCACCTCTCCCAGTATCTTAAATAAGGGATCGCCTCGCCTGGTCCTGTTGACGAGCCAGCTAATCATGGTGTACAACATAATCACAAATGCGGTGCGGAGAGTGGAAAGGAAGAAGAAGGTCCATTGACGGGCGGGCCACCGGCGAGCTGCGTAGGAACAAGCTGCTCGTATCACGTACAGGAGCGATAGAGCGGTCAGGCCCATAGCTGCGTCAATCTTGCTGTCGCCCAAGTGTTTTGGTATGTTGATAATGACGAGATAAGGGGCCTCTCTGGTGGGAAACTCCGTCATGCCCATCATGGATGGTATCTGACCCACGGGGATGGTAATGGCCGATCCGGTCATGAAAGCCGGGAGGGACGTCAAGGGAATGATATCGATCATCCATCCGAGGCGAACCAGACCGATAAAAAGAACAATGGATCCCGATACGATGGCCACAGCTGACGCTATGTGATGTGGCTCATACTGGGGGAACTGGTCCCGGGTGCGGGCAACAATATTTCCGACGACAGTTGAGAGCACAGCGACGGGCCGGAGGGGAGCGTCAGAGCTGGCCAGAGTTTTGATTCCCCAAAGGAAAAGAGAAAGGAGAAGAGAGAGAAAAAGAAGGAGAGAGAAAAAAGGGAAAAAAAGAACATACCCCGATGGTGATGTCTTTTGAGGTAGCGAAGAACCAATATATTATGACGCCCATGAAGGAGGAATACAAGCCGAATTCAGAGGCGAGGTTGGCTAGGATGGCGTAGGCCATGCCCTGAGGTACGACGACGGCGCCAACAGTAATACCGGCAACCAAGTCCCCGGTAAACCATTTGAGGTTATAATATCCGACCCAGTTGACGAAGGGGAAGAGGGACGTGACGTAGTTTACGCAAGCTGTGCGATCAGGCACAAGTTCTCGAAGCCACTCCGCCGATGTTGGGGGTTCTTCAGCGAAGCTGCCGGTGGAGAGGACCGACTCTTCACGTAGCAGTTCTTCCGTTTCCCCAGGCTCGGGCAGTTTGATGCCGAGAACCTTGGCCAAAGCATTGCCAGCTCTTGACCCCATGCCGTCCATAAGGAGCTAGGAGCTAGGAGCTAGGAAGAAGAGAGGGAAATGAGAGGTCCACCCTTCTCGGAATCGCCTGGAAACATTCCCCTGTCTGTGATGTAGGGCGTGCTACCCCGATGCTGTGATAGGCACTTCCAGACGTCGTCCTCAGATAGCCGAGATCATCGGAGGCGTTGATACCTAGTCGAGGGGGGAACCTTTGGCGAAGGGCACGCGCCGTAGGCTACCGGAGCAATCGGACACGGCGATCCCTATCCAACTATCTACCGTCTGTTATGCGCTGAGGTGGAAGGAAGTGACCGAGAGAAATGGTAGGCCAATGGAGAGTCAGGAACTTCAGGGCGTATGATATGGTTGGATATTTTGGGTAACATCAATAGATTTCAACGAGGCATAAGGATGAGAAGCTCGATAGAAGACGGAGGATGCTTGGACAAGGACCCAACCCAGTATCTGAGTTATATATATCCACCTACGCGCCCCAGGACGCAAGCTGGTATGCAGCTGCAAGGCAGTAAAAACCAAAAGTGTAAGGGACCAAGGATGTGTACTCAGGTAGACCGAACACCGAAAAGAAGGCGTCGGTTATTGAAAAGACGTTACCGCATTCCTCTCACAAGGCAACGTGCACTGGTGTCCTGAAGACAAGACATAGATAGATGACAGCCAATGGACTTGAGCTTCTCGACGGGACGAGTCCGATTGCGCAATAGCGACAAAACGCGAGTGGCTGAATACCCGGCACGAGGGTTGTCGGCAACGGCGGAGGATGGAGCAGAGGGGTGGCAGCGTAAGTGCCCTTGGGCGGTTTGGTGGCCCTTCGGACAACCATCGACCTCTCGGCCTCAGAGAGTTTGGAGCAGATAGCCGAGAATCGTAGAATCGCAACTTGTTTGCGGAGTAGTTAATCCGGTGAACATAATGTAAAATACCTTTGAGTTTTCCTAACGGGGGGCATCTCATTTGAAGCGTTATCACAATTTATCACAAGCTAGAGGAAGACCATCGCTGCCAACCGTGGGGTTTGACGGTGTCGAGTTCAACAAGAAACGAGTCCGAAGCACGCAATCGCGGCACCGGCCAATGACAGCATGGCTAAGCTGTGGTCACTGCGCGGGCTCCAAGCACCTGGGTGCTGGTGACGCAATGTGGGGTACAGGGAATCCTCACCGAGGGGCACCGGTCTGGCCGAATTCACCTTCTGCTGCACGTGTAATTACCTTACTCATACGCTTATAAGTAAGCTTAGAAGCAACGCCGTATAAGGTACGTTACGAATACCTAGGTAAGGTACGGGTACCGCCTGGGAAGTAATTATGTGACGAAAACTTGATATCCAAGGTACCTTATCTTTTGGGTTGAATGATGAATGATGACCAACGCTCTTGCCATTTGGCGTGCTGACTAAGAAGATATGTATCGCCAGCCCCTGATCCGTCCGTGCCTGTGTGACATTATTAACGGCGTGAGGTTCCGCCGCGGTTTGCTTCCTGGGTCTTGGGTTGGGTCCTGGGTCCTTACCAACCTCCTCCTCCCCTGCCTCCATCGTCACCCACCACAAACACTTTTTTTCTTTTCTCCTTCTTTCTTTCAGTTGCAATGCGTTCTCCTCTATCGGTTGAATGACTCCAGCCTTTGTAATGCACAATCATGACCCCTCATTTCTCTTTTAACGAGACGGCCAAAATGCCGAGTCCGACAAAAGAAGCGACCGCCCCTACCCACGGATACACATTCGCCCATACCACCGATCTCCTCCCGCCGCCTTCCCCTCGAACACATCGTGCGCTGCGCAAACTTCAGTCGGCGCACAACCTGGGCTCGCGGGCCTCCGCCTCGAGCCAGCCTTCTCTTATTACCCAGCAACGCCTACAACAGCAGCAGGTCCTCTCGACCCCCCACCGTGACCTCTCCCATACCCACGGCTCCGCCGCCGCGACGCCCCCCTCCATTAACACCTCCCCGGCTGCTTCTCACCATGTTCGTCAGCGGGCCCGCGCCAACAGCGACGCGCCGCCCATGGGCCAACACCTCAATTCCACGCCTGCCAACAAGCGCAGCATGATGGGTATCAACCCAAGGTACACCCACATCTCGTTAGCACAGCTCATTCGCGAGGGACCTCCTGAGGGTGACATTCCCGAGGCCCTCGGGGCAGCTCGCCGCAAAGTCTTGAGCGAAGGCATCAAGACAGACACAGACGGCATGGTACGGCCACCGGGTTTTGCTGTTTTGCTGTTTTGCCCCCTCCCTGAATCTCAAGAGACGGCAACCGCCCTGACTAACCGTGTTCCTTCTTCTCAGTCCCCGTTGCGCATCTATGCCTGGCTCATCTTCCTCGACGCGCCCATTCTCCCGACCGACGACTACCTCGGCCTTATCCACCGCGGCGCTTCCCCCGCCTATTCCAAGATCCGCAACGACACCTTCCGCACTCTCACCACTGACCCTCTATTCCGCCGTCGCGTCAGCGAAGCCAGTTTGATCCGGCTTCTCAACGCCGTCGCCTGGAAGCTTCACGATGCCCGCGAGGCACAGCGTCTTCGAGATCGCCCTTCAATCCAAGAAAGCGCCGTCGCAGCCTCGTCCTCCGCATCCGCCTCGGGCTCCACGACCCGTCCTTCGACGTCGCACTCGCGGCCCTCGTCCCAAGGGGGCGGCTCGACCTCTTCTCCTGCCGCGAAACATCGTGCCCGGGCTCTGACCCTCACCACCGAGGCCTCTTCCAACGACCCGGCCCTCGCCTCCGAACCGGGGACCTACGTCCAGGGCATGAACGTCCTTGCGGCCCCATTTCTCTATGCCGCTCGTTCCGAAACCGAGGCCTTTGTCGCCTTCCACACTCTGTTGACACGCGAGTGCCCGGCCTACATCCGCGGCGCCATGGACGGAGTGCATCGCGGCGTCGCCCTTGTCGACCGAGTCCTCGCCACTGTCGATTCTCGCCTCAGCGGCTACCTCCTCTCGAAGGGTCTTTCCGCCGAGCTCTATGCCTTTCCCAGCGTGCTCACCCTCTGTGCATGCACGCCGCCGCTGCCCGAGGTGTTGCGTCTCTGGGATTTCCTCTTTGCCTATGGTCCCCATCTCAACATCTTGTGCATTGTGGCGCAGCTCATGGGTATGCGCGACCAATTGATGAACTCACCCAAGTATGTGTGACCTGTTCCTCTTGGTTTCTTTTTTCTTCTTCTTCTTCTTCTTCTTGGTTGACTAATAATCACGCGATATAGCCCGAATCGGCTGCTGAGGGCGTTCCCTTCGCTGCAGGCCGATAAGGTCATAGAACGAACACTATGGATCATTGAGAGAATACCCGACGTCATCTATGCGGTCATTGTAACCCATGCGCTCTAGACGAAAGACGTAAGAAGAGAACGGGTCAATATCGCACCGAGAACATAAAGTCAAGGGAGCAGCTTTCTGATATAACGGTTGTACGGGAATCAGGATGCAGCACGGAGGGCATTTCGTGCTATGGACGATACACACGCATCGCATGTGGTTTGGCTGGCGTTTTCTGGATTATGGAGGGTCAAAACACCGGCTGCTGGTTTGAATTGCAATACGGACCGGGTGGGCATGTGAGATGTACGAAAACCATGACGACTAATGATTATAAGACCTGTGTAATGAGTAGCGCGCAGGTAAGGAGAAAGGCGATCAGTTGCGCCTGAGATGGCAAATCCGACGCTTTTCCCTCAGGCCCTCCGCCACTTCCTGTGAAGTGCGAGAGTCAATTTCCCATCCGATATTTACATGATGTGTGTACAGACTGATACGAATGACTCGAAGGAAAATTTTCCCGGCGTCACAAACCTCAGACCTCCTTAGGCTTCTCGGACGACTATGAAAACCACCCCTTGACGAGGACCCACAGCATCCCCAGGATGTACACGGACTGCCCTTTCTTATACAACTGAGACCGGTCCCCAACCTCGGCCATGATGCAGGCGAGATCCCCAAGAGCAGGTGCGAAGTGTTTTCCGCTACGCGCATACGCTGCTATAAGATCGTTGCCGTTCGTTACGCCACCTTGAATGGGACAAATCGTATACATGTCAGCGCTCGGGCAACATCGAAACCCAGACCCATTAGAGGTTTGAAGAGACACGGAGTCTAAGAGGGCCAATGGCAATGGCAAAGGCACAAAGGGAACAAGGAACAGGAACAAAAAGAAGAGGGAGGGCGCGGGGGTGAACCCACCAGCAGACCAGAACCGGCCATCCTGATACCACCGATACTTCTCTCCGACAAATTCGGCCCCGGGGAACTTGTTTTTTAAATCATCCTGTATCCCCCTGGGCCCGCACACCTTCTTCCCATCCAACAGGCCCGCGGCACCGCACAGTAAGATGCCCGTGCAGATGCTCAGGATATCCGTCCCCTCGTTTGCGGCCTGCTCGCGCAACCAGCCAGTCATCTCGTCGCTGAACTCGGTGCTGGGGTCCGGGCCGGGGACAACCACGATGTCCAGTTTTCCGGGAGCCACGTCCGGGTGGTCCGTCGCGTGGGTGGGACGAGCATCAAGTTCGGCGGTCATGGGTATGCTGCCTTCAGCCATGCGGGCGCGGGTCGTGATGTAGAAAATCTTGACGTTGGGGGCTAAGTCGATCATATGCTGCGGGACTAGGGACCGGATGGCCTGTATGTACTCGTGCGACATGACGTGCAGGATGTCCACGCAGGCCATGTCGAGGAGCTGACAGCCAGCGGGGATGTACACGCCGACCTTGACGACTTTGTTGAGCATGATAGCGGGCGAGGGCTGATGCGCAATGCTGGTTCCGCGTTCTCTGCTCCTTGAATACTCGGGAGGAATGTAAGCTTGATGAGTCGACTATTGATCAGAATGTAGGTGATTATATATTAACAGAACTATCTATACTCGCGAATGCCTCCGTTCATAATTATTCTAGTCGCTCCTTAACACCCGCTGCGTCTCGGTCTTCAGTGATACCGATACCGCCAGAGTCCCAGGCACCAATGCCGCTCTCTTCGGCGTGGTGCTGTCGCCAGAAATGGCAACAATTGGGGGGGGGGGGGGGGGGGGGGGGGGGGGGGGGGGCCGCAGGGGGGGGGGGGGCGGGGGCACTGATTGGACAAGCCCTTCTTAACTCCCGAGTCTTCTCGGTCCTCCCTTGGAGCTACCTTACGGAGCTTTGGATTACCCCGTAGAGCTTTCACTCTGCGAAGACTTGTGACACCTCCAGGGCGTGGGCATAGTTCAAGTCCTCTGATGGCATAGCAAAGATATTTTGCGTACAATACAGCACTTCTCGGTGTGCCTTGTACTCGCAGACAACGGAGACGGGGCAGGTTTGCTTTACAGAATACCTAGGTACCTTAGGCAAATTGGTAGGTAGGTACCAGGGTAACTTGAGGGGTGCGTCATGATTACTCGATATTCCTATTTTGCTTCCTTAAGGCCCCTTTCCCAAGCCAATAACCTTAGCTAAACGGTACCTACTCCGTACGCTCGTACCTTATTCACTAAGGTACTGGCGATTTTTGCCGAAACAAAGACGGACGAGAGCCAACATTTGAAAGCGGATAGGTTCCCCCTCCCCGCCGATATCGGCATCCGTACATGGCATGGATGGCTCTCCGCAAACGTACGAGTACGAAGCAATACGAATAGTAGCCAGTAGCTCTTGAAAAAGCGCTTCGTTCCCTCTTCTGTCATCCTGTCCCGGTCCAGGCGCAGCTAACTTGAGCAGTCTCCGGTCAACGGTCAACAAGCCGAGCACAACATCTACAATACTCCCAAATTCAGGTTGTTTGTCTATCCGCAAATAAGAAAACCTACATGTCAGAAAATCCGATATTTCTTGAGCCTCCTTCCTATCTACCTATCCTGGTTCCATCCTTTACGCCCTCCCAGGGTAAACCAACCCAACTAGACGATAGTCGATAGGTAGGCTAAACAGGGCTATCCCCCTTCCACCGCGAATGCCCCGCTGCTTACTATCAGCAAACTCTTGTTGCCGGCATTACTACTACATGGTCAAATTTTGACGAGTCTCGGCCTCTACGTTTCTTCCTCAACCTCGACCTCAACCTCAACCTCAACCTATTGTCCATTGGTCAGAGCCATAGGAGGGACGGCGGCCATCCGCAAACATGTCACTCCAACGTGTTGCTTCCCTCGAGACGTTCCAATCCATACAGCCACCCTACCACCAACCTAGCCGCCTCCCCGGCTCCAGGCGCGGCAGCGATGCTTCTAGCACCCGTCCTCGGAAACTGAGCTTCAACCCTCTTCCCGACGAATGGGATCCTCACGATCTCAAGTTGGACGTGGTCCAGGCTGTGAGCGCCTTTGATGTTCCTTCGTGGAAACGAGTCCGTGAGTGAAGACCCCCCCTACCGAACAATATCCCTATCCCTACATATGCAGCACCGTGAGTTAACGTGGGACCTGCCGGTCACTCATCGCAGTTCAGGTCATTGTTGCTGTCGTGTACTGTCTCTTCGCCGCAGGCATCGTCTTTGGGTATGCAGCTATCAAGCCCGTATTGAAACATGAAGGTGCCTACCAAGATGTCTGCCGCTCCGACTCCGATGTCCACGACGGGGACTCTATCCCTGTCGACGACACCTGCGTTGAGATACATCTGAATCTAATGTTCACCATCGCCGCCGTTGCCACCAACGTCGTCGCCCTGCCGGTCGGTGCTATTCTCGATCACTTCGGCCCGCGCATATGCGGCATCATCGGCAGTCTCTTCCTCGCCAGCGGTGCTCTCACCATGGCCTACGCACAGCGCCTTCCCTTCGACGGCTTTGTCGTCGGCTACTTGCTCTTGGCCCTTGGCGGCCCTTTTACCTTTATTCCTTCCTTCCACCTATCCAACGCCTTCCCACAGCACTCCGGCCTCATCCTCGCCTTGCTTACCGGAGCCTTCGATTCCTCCAGCGCCCTGTTCCTCGTTTATCGCGTCATCTACCAGTCGACCGGCTTTGGCTACCACCACTTCTTCCTTGCCTATCTGGTCGTCCCCGTCTTCCTTCTCATCACCCAGCTGACCCTCATGCCGAAGCAGTCCTACAAGACTGTGGGTGATCTGGTGGAACAGGCCGAGGAAGCCGAAGCCGCCATTGATGCCGACGAGACCGACCTCTACGACGACCAGGTCGACGAGAACACGGCGCTTTTGCGTGAGGAGCGCCGCCACCAGATCCAAGCCGTACTGGCTGACACGGAGCAGCTCCTGGGCGAAGACCGTGCCGACGGGCAGGCCCAACGCGAGGAAAAGTCGAACGAGGTCTCCGGCGTTTGGGGCGTCATGCACGCTCATTCGGCCCTAGAACAGATCGCCTCGCCATGGTTCATCCTCATCTGTCTCTTCACCGTCATCCAGATGACGCGAATCAACTACTTCGTCGCCACCGTCCGCGCACAGTACGAAGCCATCTTCGGAGATCATGAGACGGCCGTTGAGATCAACAATTTCTTCGACATGGCGCTCCCCGCCGGTGGCGTGCTGTCTATCCCTTTCATCGGGCTCATCCTCGACCATACCAGCACCATCGTCGTCCTCACCGTCCTCGTCGCCGTAGCCACCGCCATCGGCATACTGGGAGTGCTCCCCTTCCACTGGGCTGCGTACCTGGGCATCTGTCTGTTCGTCCTCTACCGTCCCTTTTATTATACCGCTGTTTCCGACTACAGCGCCAAGGTCTTCGGCTTCCGCACCTTCGGCACTGTCTACGGCACCATTATCTGCCTTTCCGGCGTGCTCAACTTCTCCCAATCCGGACTGGATTTCCTCTTCCACCAGACGTTCCACGGAGACCCTGTACCCGTGAACGTGATGCTGCTGGCGGTGGGATTCGCCGTCGGCGTCGTCCTGGTTACCTTTGTCGGTATCAAGTCCCGGGGCATTCGGCGCAAGTTGTTGGAGCTTGAGGCTGAAGAAGTCACACGCGCCCCTTGATTTCTGACATATCGACATATATATATATATTCCAATATATCCGTCCCATGCCTTATCACAACCGAGGCCACAAATTTTTGGATACGCCCTTCCTCTTACTGTTCAACAACCCCTCCCCCCCCCGGCAAAAGGGACTACGGTTTGTCCCTTTCTTTGTTGCATATCAAAAATGGATTTGGTTATTCATTCCTGCAAAATGTGTATATTCCTCGCCATATTCAGCCTGGCTTGTTTGATACTACACCGTGTTGGTTTTATTTAAATGCTGGATCCTTGCTCGTCATGCACTTCACGAGTGTACCATAGACAACCAGGCGTTTGGGTTGCAAGTGTCAAGGGGCGCAGAATTTGGAGTAAAATCATCATCGCAACAGTTACCATTGATTTGGAAAGGCGACGTCCACAAGGCCGATCACATTTACACGTATATATACAGACAAACTGTTACCCATGTTGTAACTTCTATAGCCCTGGGATTTGTGATTCGCACATACCGTACCCAGAAACCGCAGACACAATTGCACGTTCCCTGACTCCCCATCTTGGTAACCCTACCTAACGCCATGCCGACCGACTGCTGGAGTCCCTTTACCATAGACCCTTGGGCTTGTACAAGCCATGTCCAGAACAAACGGCAATAAAGACAAGAAGAAGAAGAAATGGGCGGCGCCCACATCCGAGAGTATCACGCCCATAGAACCGCAACCTCACATCTCCATCGGAACCCCCACTGCCTCCTCCTGGGCTCTCCTCAAACTGTCATCTCTGGCCTCCCTTTCCTCCTTCAACCTCTCTTCCACCTCATCCCGCAGACCCTCCAGGTCCGGCGGAATAACCTGGTATTGTACACTGGGCGCGGCTTCGACGAAGCGGAGCTGCTCATTGACATGTTGCACAATTTCCTGCAACCGCTTGGGAGGGTTCTTATTCGCCCGGGGCTCGCCTAGTATCTGTTCCAAGGTCGGGAAAAGCTCCTCGTAGCGAAACTGGTCGCGCCAGGGGGTGTGGGTCGGGATGATGGGGGAGATGCGGTCCTGCACGCCGGCGGCGATGCTCGTCTCGTAGGCCCAGGCGCGGGCCACGTTCCTAGGCGTGTACCCGCCGCCGCCGAAGAGGATCATGGGCAGGCCGAACTTCTTGCAAAACTCGACGCAGGCGCCGTGGCCCTGGACCTGCAGGTTGAAGCGGCCCAGGCGGTCGCCGGCCAGCGAGTCGGCGCCGCACTGGAGGGCGATGGCGGTGGGGCGGAACTTCTCGATGCACTTGCCGATGACGTTCTCGAAGAGCCAGCCGTACTGCTCGTCGGTGATGCCGTCGTTGAGGGGCACGTTGATGGCGTGGTGGGCGCCCGGGTTGTGCTCGTTCTTGGGGCCGTTGTCGTCGAGGGCGCCGGTGCCGGGGAAGAAGTTGCACGGGTCGTACTTGTGGAAGGACACGGTCATGACGCGGTCGGTGGAAAAAAAGGCCTCTTCGACGCCGTCGCCGTGGTGGACGTCGATGTCGATGTAGAGGACCCGCGGGTGGTAGCGCAGGAGCTGCAGGATGGCGAGGACGATGTCGTTGATGTAGCAGAAGCCGGACGCCTCGGATCGTTTGGCGTGGTGGAGCCCTCCACCCCACGCGACGGCGATATCCGACTGCCCGGAGCAGATCTTGCGCGCGGCGTCCAAAGAGCAACCGCCGGACATGGAGCAGTACTCGTATAGGCCCTCGAACAATGGGCAGTCGGAACCACCGAGGTTGAATTTGAGCTCCGGGTTGGGGTTCTCTACGTCGCGGGGTGTCGGCTCCGGGAGTACGGTGCCGAGGAAATCGAGGTAGTCGGCGGCGTGGAAACTGTTCAGTTCTTCATAAGTAGCCGGCCTGGCCGTGTAGTTGTCCATGGCAAAGTTCATGCCGTAGGAGAAGACGAGGCTCTTGGACAGCGTCAGGCGCCACGGCTTCATGGGATGGGTCATGCCGAAATGGTGGTTCTCCATGTCCGGGTTGAGGTGGAAGGAGACACTGTAGCCCTTTGGTCGGGTAATGCCGGCTTCCAGAGCGTAGCGCTTGCATTTGGCAAAGTACTTTGCATTCTCCTCTCCGCTGGGCTGGCTGAGAGGCACGTTGTACTCCTCGACGATGGGATCGGTGCCGATGGTGTGTGGTAGGTAGTTGGGTTTGGCCACGCGGAACTTGTATGGCGGGTTGACATTGGACATGTTGAGGACGCCAGGCGTTGAGAGGAAGGGTTGCGGGATAGCGAGGGGTAGGAGTGAAAAGAGGAGGACCAGGACGGCCCTGGAGAAGAGCACTCAGAAGGAGAAGCCAGACTTTCGTCGCGAGACGGCTAAAGGCGTCGGCTCGGTGAGGTCAGCAAACCCCGATGGGTGGAATCGGAAAGGCTTCCTTCGTACGAACGTCGTGTGCTCTGACAGCCCGTAGAACTATTTTCAGGCAGAAATTCTTAGCGGGGTGGGATATGCTTGGAATGGACGAGACAAGGGCTGCCGCGCTGTGCAGAGTGGTCTGCGACTCGTTCGACTTGGTAATAATACCGGTATTTGAATTCGAGATTTCGAGATCGATTTTGAAACCTCGACTTCCAATTCCCCAGATTTTACGAAGTAACTCCGTACCTTACTTTCATGCGGAAGGAAAGTACGAACGAAGGAACTCAAAAACGAACAAATGAAAGTTGTCACAGACCAGGGCTTAATTCGGTAGTGGCGCATCAATTGGCCGAAGGGGTGGGGCTTATCTATTAGTAAGCAAACAAAAAAAGGACCCCTGTCTAGGTACGTGTCGTATGGGCAGGACCACGACGTGGTCTATAGGGGATCTAGGGGGGATCCACTCCCTGACTAAGGGCTTCGGGCCTCGGGTCTTAGGATATAATAGGGGCGGATACCGGGAAAGACCGGATAGGATCTAAATAAGATAGTACCTATAATAGAGTCTTTACCACCTAAATTAAGGGTATAAAAGACTTATATAGATATAACTTAAGATAATATATATATACGAGATTTCTGCTCTACTAAGTTAATTATCTAAGTGTTATTTAACGTGCGATAGTTATAAGCCCGGTTTATAACGTCTAAACGATAGATATCAATAAGGCTACCCCTATGCTACTATAAAGAAGTAATCACGTTTATATAAGCACTCTTAAATAACTACGATCGACTTAATTAAAGTAATTAAAAGATTAATTAATCTACCTATTAATTAACTAACCGATAAACGATAAACTAGTAAAGATATCTTCTAACGTATCTAATACTAAATAGAAGGCGGCCGTTACTACCCTTATTAATTAGAGGGATTAGGTAGTATAGGAGTACGCCGTACGCGGTAAATCTGCCTCCTACTAGGATGAATATCTTAATCTAAAGCTAAGCGATAAGGAGGCTAACGCCTATCTCCTCCCTATACCTGCGCCGCCTAATATCCGTAAATATAAGGCCCTCGCCGTGGACCCTAACGCGGAGGAGGCCACGGCTATTACTATCACGGCTACTCCGTCTTCTATTATTACGTTAGAGGGCGATAAGGATACCGTAAACGCCGCCGCTATTACGGCTACCACGGCCGCTATTATAGCGGCTATAGCCGCCGGTAAGAAAAAGACGGCCGCCCGCCGGAAGGTTACGACCATGGCCGTAATAAAAGAACTAACGATTAGGACGCCTATATTTATCGATAACCTCTCTAAAAAGGGGCGTACGCGCTACCTATAAGATCGCTATATATACCGCGAAGAAAAGGTAGACTACGATGCGTAGTAGAAGGAGTTTAATAAGGTACGCTTTTATATTAAAAGGACCGTCTATACTATATTATATAGCCTCCTGGCTTAGCTATAGGATAATACCGTAAATAACCTATAAGCTTAGATTACCCTCCTATATACGTATATAGGACTAATACCTATAGACCTCTATAAGGAAGCCCTAGTCCTATACTAACGATATACCATGCCTATAAAGGCTATACCTAAGGATATAAACGCCTAAGTGGTAAGCTAGACAATAGCGATAATATACTATAAATATATAGGCGTTTTAGAGCTATTAAGCGCGGACTATTAGGCGGAAGACGCGTTAAAAGCTATTAAACCTATTACCTAGCAATAAAGTAATAACTACCTAATTAATAACTATAATAAGATTACGGAAAACGAGCTAATAATTAACGACTTCGTAAAGGCTCTATATACGGTTCTTGGTAATTTAAAGAGCCTATAATCCTTTACTATAAAGCCTTGAGTCGGGAGAGGCACTTTTAATACCCTTAGAAACCTCCCTGGTACTAAGGATACGGCTAATAATAAAGATAATAAGAAGCGTCCTCGTAGTGATATATCCGTAAAGGCTATCCCTTCCGTAACGAGGAGGCCTTACGAGATTTATAAGAACCCCTATACTACCGCCGCCTATTAGTATATAAGGCCGGATATATGCCCTTATACCTAGCGCGGCCGCGAAGATATTACGAAGGTTATAGAAAAGAAGATATATAACTATAGTTTTAAAAAGCCGCATGGATACCGCGATATAGAAAAGGCGGGAAGTAGTAGCTACTACCGCTAATAAGATAGAGGAAGTCTAGGAAAATTAACTCTATAATACTACGCCTACTATTATAATAGTTTATAAAGACCTGTCTATTACCGCGACGGGATTAGGAGCCTACCTAACTTAGGGGGTAACGCGTTATCGTACGACGATACTATTAAGATTATAATAAGAATAAGGGGTATCCCTTTTTATTAACTAAGCTAAGGCGCTATTATACTACGCGATCCTAGATTTAGGATCATTAATCTATATTTTTAAATAATCGAGGCCGTTTTACGGCCGTTAGACTACCCACGGATACTTTATCCTTATCCCTTTAAATAGGTACTTATAAGGCTTTTATCCTCGGATACGGAGATGTTAAGCTATATATATAATCCCTATTAGGTATAAAGAGGCTATTACGCCTCCGTAACGTTATATACTATAAGGAATTCGTTACTAATATCGTCTCGGAATACTAGCTACGCCTATAAGGTTACCACTAGGATACAGTAAATAATATTATTATTAGCTCTGCTAATAACCGGCCTATCTATAAGCTACTAGATATCCACGGCTAGTATATAATTAAGCGCGCGGAAGCCACGGCCGTTACCGTATTCGCGGTCTCGGTAAGGCACCCGCGCGATAACCCGTAAAGGAGATTACGATAACTACGGTAACTATAGAAGACCACGGTATAACGGTGGCACGAACGCCTTAGCTATTATAGCACGGATACTCTCGCGAAGATTATTAACGCTACTTAGGGGGTAAAGATAAAAGGACCTCGTATAACGGACTATAACGCGTATAGGTAATCGTAAGTGCCTACGTAAATCCGGCGGATACTATCCTTTTACCCGTTAAAGCCTAAAGAGGCCCTGGCTATTGATTGTTATAATCTAAAAGAGGCGGAGTCGTTAACGGGCCGTCTATATAAGTCTATTATATTTATTATAGACGTGTATATAGGTTATACGTGGGATTACTACTTATAGAAGAGAGACTAAGGCTTTATCCTACACGCGTTAAAAGACCGTTTTACCCTGTTTAAGACCTAATTCGACGTCCGGCCACGTATCCTATAAGCCAATTCCGAGATATTCTAATACCCAGAAATCGTTACTTTCCTCGTTACTAAGGGCGTAAAAGGCTAGTTATCGGCACAATATTTATAGGATTAAAACGGCGTTATAGAACGGATTAAAGGTATCGTTAAGAGAAGGGCGAGGGCTATAAGGATTAAAGCTAATCTGCATATATCTATCTAGCCTAAGATCTTTAAGATTACCGTGGATCTATATAATAGGACGCCACGATATATTAACGACTAGTAAACGCTATATAAAGGCCTATGCGGCCGTTAACCTGACCTTACGCACCTACGAGCTTACGGCTAGAAAGTCTTTATAAAAACGCGCGATACCTAAGCTAAGAGGAACTGCCTATAAAGGCTAGAACCGAAGGTATAGATCGGTTACTATATCGGATACTAATCCTTAAATAGCTTCCGTATTTAGCTACTATACCTAACGGATATTATTACTATAAGAGATATAGTCTTTAACGAAGACGAGATATTCGATAGTAGGATTAAAACGCTATAAGCTATAGCTTCCGCCGAGGAAATCGGGGAACGCTTATAATCTATCCGTATTACCTAATCTAATAAGACCGCGAATAGGCTACTATTAAGGGGCATAGCCGTAGATTTATTAGATTTTAAGTCGGAAGACTTTAACGCCACCGCTATTACTACGGGTAAAGGCGACGCTACCGCTATTACTACGGGTAAAGGCGACGCTACCTCTATTACTACAGATAAAGGCGAGGCCGTCGCTATTACTACAGGAGAGGCTATTACTATTACTATAGACTATATTACTGCTATTACTATAGACGAGGTTCTAAATCTATAGCCTAACACCTAGGCTATAGATTTAGAACCTCGTAACTCTAACGCTACTACTATTACTACGGGAGAGGCTATTACTACGGATACTACTATTATTATACGAGAAGACTATACTACCGCTATTACCACGGAAAAGGCTACCGCTATTACTGCGGACACTTCACGGTTTACTACTACGAGGTTTAAACCGTTTCCCACGCCTCTAATATCCCCGGAAGATCCCGTGCGCGCGTTCCTTATAGCGTTAGCGGTAGTCAGGGGCGTTAAGATGGAAGAACACCATAACTATTAACGGATAGCCAGGAATGCCCCTAGGGGGTGCCTATCGGCCGCGCGCCTATTACCCGCGCGTCTATCTATTATAAGCCTATACACGACCGAGAAAGTATAGAATAATACTACCTAGAAAGCGTTTTTTAACGCTAAAAGGACTTATAACCCTATACGCGGGAGGAAGTAAGCTATTAACGACGGCAACGTTATCGGCACGGGCACTATAGATCCCTTTCCCTCTAACGCCTCCTTATTATATCTAACCCGCGAGGATCTCCCGCCTCCGCTAAACCACTACCACGATATACGCCTATACCCGTTACGGGAGCGGTGGTTATAGGCCGAGGGTAAATACCTTAAGGGGCACCGATAGATAGGCTATTAGTAGGAGGTCCGTGATGATCGGGCTAATAAGTAATAAGTCCTCGCCTATAGATAGGTATACACCTATAAATTTAATAAGGAGGGCACCCTCCTTAAGTGTAAGGCACGCCTAATAGTCTAAGTGGATTAATAAAAACAGTTAAAGACTAAAGATAACTACGCCGCTATATTAGTATCGCGGTTATTCCGTATACTCATAGTAATCGCCGCCCGATTTAATCTAGAGATAAAGTAGTTTAATACCGTTAACACGTTCGTTAACGCTAGCCTTAAAGAAGAGGTGTTTATATAGATACCGTAAGGCTATAAAGTGCTAGGTAAGGTACTACTACTACGGAAAGCCCTTTTCGGCTTAAGGGTATCGCTACTACTATAGTAAGAGGAATTTAGCGGCACGCTATAAAGGATAGGATTCACGGCTATACCTAATAACCCCTATATTATAATACGCGACAGTTTAATCCTATTCTTCTACGTCGACGATATCGGACTTATATACTATAAAGA